CAATTTTTACTTATCAAGAAATCGGAAATATAGTTTCGACCTGTATAATTACAAAAAGAAACTCCACGTTTCCGACCGAAAACATTTAAGCAGCCCATTTTGAAATTCGTCAGCCACCTGATGATTCCTTTTGGATGAATGACTAGCAACCTTTTGAGGTAAGAAAAACTATTTACTATACTATTCGCTCATAATGTCCAGCATTTCGCGACTCAAAACATACGTACTAACAACAGTCAACAATTATGTTTTCCCTTCGAAAACAATGACAATGATATATAAATAAAAATAAAATAATTGTTTTTGTTTGTGGAAACACCACGTAAATTTATTACTGCAAAGCTATAAATATATATAAATATTAACAATAATTGCTATTTCTCTCAGTCCAGAATAATTATACTTAAGTCCTGTTTAAACGGATGCAACATGTTGGACCAACATCATTCAGCATTGTTGTGTCCAACATGTTGGGTCCGTTTGAACACCAATGGAAATACAGAATGGAACACTTAATGGAACTATATGGAGCTTTAATCAATCATATTTTAAAATGACAACAACCACAATACTCGGGAATCTATTTTATTACGAAAATATCAATATGATCATGTGACCATTTCCCCTCTAAAGACAGGTGTAACGCGAAATTTCTGACTTGCGAAATATCTGACTATTGTAGAACTGCCCATGCGCAGACGATGCACATGAATGACTTTGGCTCATAAACTGTTTCGCAACTCAACAGACAACACGTGTATTTATAATGTTTATACATAAATTTTCAAGTTCTACAATTTATCAACTGAATTGACACTATACCACTGGTTGTGAACTGCCTCGTCTCCAGGCGCTAATAAACTTTTTTTATGCGAATCACTATATGAACGGTTTACATCAAGTAGTGCGTCACATTATAGGCGCGCAAAGGGGAGTGGGATTCTGGTTAGCGCCTGGCTGATCTTGTATAATAGCTGTCGAACATACAAAAAATAATTTAAAAAAAATAGTT